ACAAGTCAATACCATGGTGAATGATGTAAAGGCCTAATGAAAAATAAAGAAAAACCCCACCACGAAAAACAAAAGCAAACCAGGGGCGATTCTCCAACGTCTGAAAAGAGAAGACAAAATTACTGAAGCTCAGTAACAAGTTCTTATATCCCACGGCTGAAAATGTCGCCCAACAGTAATTTTGTCTTCTCTTTTCAGACGTTGGAGAATCGCCACTAGTTTGCTTTTATATTTCGTTGTAGGGTCTTTCTTTAATTTTCCATAGGTCCTTACATCACTCAACATAGTATTGACTTGTTTTTCGTAGTCGTCCTTGTCCACCACAACTGTAGCCTTTCCCTTGTCTGCTGGTAGGATCATGATACTGGGTTCCCTTTTCAGCTTAAATATGGCCGATTTCTCTTCCTTGGTGATATTTGGTTTTGGGAGTTTAGCCATGCCCATGGTGTGTGCTATTTTCATACGTAAATCTTCAGCTTCTGCTGTCGGCATCGAGTGACAAGCTTGTTCTGTGGCTACTATGAATTCTTCCGTGGGGATTTTATTTGGGGTGATGGCGTAATTTAATCCTTTTGCTAGGACCGACTGTTCTGCGGTTGTCAGTTTGTATTTAGAAATGTTAACTACCCACTTTTTGAGTTGCGTACCTGTTAAATCGAGTGTTGTGGTCACAGATCTGTCCTTCTTTCCCTGTAGAGTTGAAAACTTCGATTGCTGCCGCCATTTTGTTTGTTTATATTCGGTCTCACGAGAATGCGCGAGGTGCTGCAAGACGCGCTGTCTTAGTCCATTGTTTAGTGGCGCTTTTTTTAGGTCATTGATTTTCACTAGTCTGTTGTCTTCATATTGCTTGATTTTGTAGCTTACTGATCGTATTCTCTCTCTTATGAGTTGTTTTTCTGCTTTCTCGATAATGTCCTTGGCGCGATTCGTACGAATCGGGCATTTTAATCGTAGACTGGACGGAACGATATTTTCGTCCTTACACCGTAACGTAAACACTAGGTGGTTTTTGTGTCTTGCGATCTTTCTTTCCAAACTTTCGAAGGATCGGACTTCAGTCACTGTTCTCTGACCGTGTTGTGAACGTAACTCATTGAATAAGTTCATTCGGTTGGTAGAATAATATAAATAACCAAGTTAATTGTTACTCAACCGTGCTGGTATGAAACGTACCGCTGACGTTTCGCCTCCTGTCAGGAAGCTTTCTCAAAGCTAACTGAAGTTAATCAGTTTAGGATACAGGCTTAGTCACGTGTGGACTAAGCTACTGACCACCACACCATCTGGTGGTCAAAACTGATTAAATTCAGTTAGCTTTGAGTAAAGCTTCCTGACAGGGGCGAAACGTCAGGCGTTACGTTCTGTACCAGTACGGTTGAGAAAATTAACTTGTTATTTATATATTGTTATACCAACCGAATGAACTTATTTTAATGAGGTATATATAATTTAAGTGTAATACCACACACGCATGCAAAGCGTCTGGCGGCATACCATGCCCAGGTATGTCGAGCCATATCACGCAGGGAATACTGGCAAAAATCTCAGGAGTGTATAATAATAGTATCTACATCTATATATAGTTAGATATATGTATAATTATCTAGATATATCATTATATAACATAGATTCTATATTATACATTCGATAATATGTATGCACTGACCCAAAAGAGGACATTACTGGCTATAGATGGCATCAAGTAAATTTTGGACGAAGTCAACAAAATTCGGCAATAAAATGCTTCTTGTGCCCGACCGGACAACCAGATCTGAACATAAGCGTCGAGGCTGTGATGGGCTAGGACAACGGCCATCACCAGTGTGGCCAATTGAGTTGTACTCAGGTCAAAGGCAAGTGTGCGAAAGGTCAGATATCCATACATTTTCTGAGGCCTTGCCTAACGGACAGAATGAAAAATTTTTGTGTTCAGCCTGGGACCTACCATTATATATACTTATGAAAGCACCATGAAATGTGCTTCGCACTGCACGTGCAAAATAAGTGTCTGAAAACGGCTTGACCCTCAGAGGAGGTACAACATTGATTTGTTGACTGTTAACAATAGGGACTGAACTTGCCTTTTGCTATATTAGAGCCCATACCTGTGTGGAGGTTAGGCTGCATTTGCCGTTCAATTGGCAAACAGACAAAAGTTTGTGATCAAGGTTACACTCCTTACAGGGTTCATAGCGGGTCTTTCCAAAGTCCTATAAGTACTTATTTTGTGCCAAAGTAAAACAAGGTCCCTTATTAGTTCTCTTTGATGCACCTATGAAAAGTACCTAAATGTTCTTAATTTTTGCAAGCCTTACAATATTCATTGTCAATATTTTATAAACTGTTCCGACATTGTTTTTAGATAGAATTGTTTATATATATATATCCCGGAGAATTAACTTCTGTTGCAAACTGTGTAGATAAATATTATTTGTGTACTTGATCTCGTCGGTGATCTATCAGAACTCGTGTAAAAAAGTCTTATTTTTGCCTCAGAGAAGGTCTTATATCCTTATTCAACATTGTCTACTACTATGAACCAGGTTCCTTAACATCATAATTATTTCTAAAGCAGTCCTATATAATAGCACCGCTGAATGCTAGAGGTGGCTACCGCATCCGACATTTAGCAAACACCGTGCGAATCCATTACCATGGCATGGGTGAACTGTGGCACTGTTTTCTAAAAACATGCCCACCGCTGCAATGCAGAGTTTTAATTTATTACTCCACAGCGAGCACAGGTGCCTGCCTGCATAGACTGATTTTAGCCCTGTACATTTCAGCCAACCAAATGGTAATTAGGTTATCGTCTACTTTTTTGACTATCTACCAATGAGCGAAGGTCCTGTCTAATGTTTTGATTATGATTACCTTGCACCGCCTCTTCGCGCAACTCTCAGTGCCAGTGATACATTATGACACAAATATCTAAGCAGTCGAGCAGGGTATGAAGTAGATGCCATGGTACGTGTTTAAGTTTAGTGTCAATAACCTATCTACACAGTTTTTGCATGTATGACGTAGCCGGTTTCGCGATAGAACCTCAACTTTTGCAGAAACGACAAGTCCAAGACATAAAGCAGCAGATGATCACTGTCGCTGTCGCTGTTGCGGGCTACTTTGTATAATTAATTAAAACTATTCCGTTAGTCCTAAACTTCAAAATTTACCGGTATTATAGCTAATAGGTACATGTGTTTATAGGTATCCTAGATTCGTCGAAATGTAGCTCCCACTGCGTTTTGCGAGATATGAGAGTTAATCACGTTTTATGCCGGCCTATATGCGCATATATGCGTATGCGTAGCGGTGGGTGGGGGGCGGGGGGTAACAGCTGTATACAATCGTCTGTAATCATTTCTAAGGAATATCTACATTGGCATGCCCCTCTAATATTTATAGTACTGCCATAGCTACAACTGTGCCAAGTTTGAGCTTGTCAGCTCTGTAATGATCATGAAGCTTAAGGACCTGACTAAAGTGTTTACAATCACAATTGCATTGAATAACCGACTCGAGTTGACGATTCTGCACCGCGCTGCGGATTAGTTCCGCGTCCTACCCATAACAATGTGACGCTTTGATTGTAGACTGATTAAGTCATAGGGCCCCGAAGACCAGATGGCGTACCCAAATAGCGAGCGATGCTGAGAAGCTCGATAATGCTGATGTTTATCGCGATAGTTTAGCAATTTATATTCATGATGTTTTATGTGCTGACCTCACAAGAAGAAAGCACGTGATGTTCGAGTGATAGTTATATATTAAGACCAACAGCGATTTGGAACAACTGGGTGCTCCTTTTGTGCTCTACATCCGCACACATTCGTACAATACATCGTCACCCCTGCATCTGCATCTCTTACTGATTGTATTGCAGCCATACAGGACGTGGTCTCTACGTCGTACGAGGCCATTATCGAAGTAAAACTACGTGGTCGCAACTTTGCAGCACCAGGCAGGGGAGGAACTCTCACGCAAGTGACCAGTAATGCAGCCTCCCCTAAGACGATGGAAACGTGGTCAATTCAATTCCTGGGAAAAACCACAGTTGATCTGTGTGATGCTGCCTTCTCCTGCGGAGTCATGTATGAGCCACATGAGAATCTACTACGGGAAGAAACCGTATAATGCGATCTGTGTGCAGCCGCATCTTCCTGTCTGATCATGTGAAGAGCACACATGAGACACTCACACGGGAGAGAAACCATATAAGTGCGAGCTGTGTTGATGCTGCCCTCTCGCATTCCGGGTGTTTGAACACACAGGCGACTCATCATGGGAGATAAACGCGTATAAGTGCGATCTGTGTGAAGCCTCATTCTCCCGTCTGAGTCATGTGAGAGACACATGAGCAAACTCACGACGGGAGATAAACCGTATCAGCGATCTGTGTGAAGCCGCATTCCGCTCTGAGTCAGTGAAGATGACCCATTGAGAACTACCACCGCGAGGATAAACCCGTCATAATATTGCGATTCTGGGAAGTCGCAATTCCTCCGCCTGAGTCACGTGAAGATACACATAAACGCACACCGAGAGAAACCGTAGACTGGCCTCTGTGGATGGCTACGTTCAACGTCTGTTTTTGGATGACAATTCTACTGCCCAGAGTGGCGATGACTGAGCGACGCAGAGAAGAGCAAATAATACGCGAGATGCGAGACAATGCACACAGAATGTGATGTTTATTAAGATCCAAAATATATGTGTGTAAGACATTAACATAATTAACATTTTAAATAAGGCTTATTAATATTTGACACAGGCGTATTTATCAATATTGTCATACCAATTCAATCATGAAAGCTTGTGTCTAAATGGACTAATCATTGTGACATACCTACATGTTGAACACTGATCGGAATAAAACAACGACCACGTATTAATTGTAATTATGTTTGCATGAGTATAGGATACCAGAGGAAGTACGAGGGGGGATACAGCATGAAACGAGGACGTGAGTTGGGATGAAAATTGTATTGAAGAGGGCGGCGCAAATAATTTAGATAGAAGATAGTGAGCAACGAGCAATCGACATTTCTACTGGGTTATCTGAAAACAAATAGAACATTGAAATCATTGCCATTACTTACGGTTTGATGTTTTGTAATCAAAATATATGCTTGTAAGCCATTTACACATAGTTAACATTTGAAATAACGGAAATTTTAACCGACCTGACTGCTGTAATTATATATGCATACAAATTCGTAGCCACGTATATGAATATCAATTCACAACGATTTCAGTCGTGGGCGCAAGGCACACCTTCCCTCCATTATGACTTTACTTAGTCATATTTAATTGTGTAATTATTCATAGATGTCGCGAATGTTATAGATGCCTGTATGTTGGAAGTTACAAGAAGAGCTGGTTGATTTCCTCCATATTTTGTGCCAAATGCGCACGGTGTATCCATTTGTCTCTATAGAGGGTTCCGCTCGCGATTTTATATACCTACAAGCAACGAAGCGGCCATTTGCCGTTGCCAAGAAACAGTCAGGCACTGTACAGTACATGAGCAACGCAAACTCTGCTCATTTATTCGCCTATTAAGCAAATCCCTCACGCATGCGATCTCCTGCGTGTGTCAATTGCAGCGATCGTATCTCGAGACCGGGCACACCGCTTCTAGCTTGCGTATTGTGATCACATATACCTATGTGAAGGGACGAAAGAATGTTAACGGTTTTTGTGACGTTTATATAACGGAAATGTGTAGGGTTTTTATAACGTTATATAACGTTGTAAAAACGAGTTATGTCACGTAACAATAACGTTAAAATAACGTTGAAATAACGTTAGTTAATGTCTTCACAATAACGTGATTATAACGTTGGTTTTCTATCTGAACGTAATTAGATATGGCGCGTGCGTGTCGTCGCATAGTATAATATAATATATATATATATTATATATGGAAATCAAACATACTAACAAAATCATTGTTTACGCGAGCTGAGCATATATAGTGGAATTGATTTTACGACATATAGAAACTGCTGCACAGGCATCACACAATCAAGCCACAGTTATGAAAATTAAAATGCATTTAATCCAGTTTTAAAATATAACTTACAACAAAAACGACATAATTTACAACTATTTATATATATATATATATCATAGATAGACAGATAGAAATTAACACAAACACAACA